CTATACACACCCCTTATCTTAAAAATATTTTTGTTTTTTTCAAGATACTGTTATCACCACGATATTTTTTCTAACTAGGCAGACTGACTATAATAATCCTACTGTTTGCGTCACATTAAACCTATAGCCACCCCCTGGTATATTCCTAATCCTCCCTCCACTCCCCTTTCTCCCGTCCTAAACTTAAAAAACTTCAAATGCAATTACACAGACTATAATGTGAAAACAGATAGCTCACTCGACGTGTAAACAAAAACCATGACGTCACATGACTGAAAATAATATCAGTGTGACCACAAATTCTGACTCTAATTCGTGCGGCTACACTGATATGGTCGCGATTGATTAGAGATTAGGTATATTTTTTAAAAATATCTATTGTCGTCCGTTTAACGCATCACCCGGTATATAAAAATAATAAGAAATAATATAATAATATTATTAAGTACCTAGGTGTACAATGTGTGTCTAACAAATCACGGCGTAGTCGCCGAATGACCAAAAGGGTTTATTGTGTGTTGAACATCGAATAGATTGCTTTTTTTTACCGTTAAGAGAATATCGTTCTTGTGATGCATTAATTGGACACATCGCCGGGACAATAATAATAATAATGATAATATAATAATGTAATCAGTTTTTGCACAATACATTATTCTATAACAATAAACGTTTGAAAGTTACCGTTCATAATGATAATAAAAATAATTATGGTTTGCAATAACAGCTATTCGCATACAGCATATGGAATAGAAACTAGAAAGTTAGCGAGTGAAAAATAGAATAATGAAATTGGTTTTTTTTTAATTTGTTAAAAATGTATTTAGAGCGAGAATGGAATATCAACAGAGCATACCTAAATTGATAGCGTTTATTTATAGCGCATGTACATTATAAATTACACAAAGGCCGTTAAAGGCAAGCCCAGATAGCAGCTGTCGTCCATAAGATTATGAATAAGTGTTATGAAATAAACCAAAGTACAACTGTGATTAAAAGTCTTACAAAGTAAAATATTGCGATAACTACTTTTAAATGTTGTAATATTCTCAAAATTAATATCGTTTTCTATATGACACTTTTATGGTCGTTTTTGTTTTAAGCATGTTAATATAATATTGTGCATGATATTTGTATTACAAATGTTACATTTCATACACAGAACATGTTTTTTTTTTATTAAATAAATATAAACTTTAACATTATTTAAAATTGTACCTAGTTAATTTTCGGTTGTTTTCAAAGTAGTTGACATTAAAAAAAAAATGTGCTACAATTGATTGTTAAATAATTCTTGGAGTAAAATTATTTTTTACTTTTTCGTTCACTTTTTTATTATTTTATGTTTTTTTAAAATATTTTAATTTTTTCTTTCTAAACCCAACCGGACTAAATTCATCAAAGACCTAGAATTTTTGAAAAATGGAAAAATTAACCACCCCATATTTATACAGCGAATCTGGGGGAGGGGTCCAAACTTGCCACCCCTAAAATGTTTCCAATATCTTATAATTTTTTTTTTTTTAATAAATCATGTCGTGGCTTTATTGTTTATTTTGGACCACTCCTGGAAAAAAAATTCTAAGTACGGTCTTGTCTCTATAATAAAGGCTCATTATCAGAGACTTGAACAAATTATAACCAACAAACCCCCCCCCCCCCCCCAAAGATTGCAACCACAATTTACAATAGTTTACTATTATTCAGTGAACTATAGATTATATTTAGTTCAACGTTTAAGTACCGTTTTATTGTACTATTTTGAACGATGCAGACATGTTTCATTTTTGTTGTTCACTGTCCAAGCTCGAGTTTGTTTCTCTGGAGAAAATATTGAATAAATACCTACAAGCGTTTTGATAACTTATGATTCACAGTAATAATAATTAACTATAGGTATGTAAATCGTACTCGGGTCCAGAAAACGCACCCACTAGGTATGTAAAATGCATTCATTTTCATTAATAGTATTGCCGTAGTCGTATAAATAACAGGTTTCCAACTGGAAGTCGGACGTTAATGACACGTTATTGATTTAAACAAACCGGTAAACTATATTTTAGTCGATCACCGTGTACCTGCAAAATGACACAAAACCCGTGTAGCCTTCTGGGTGCAAAAACGGATTCGGTATTAATACAAATTACTATATTATGAATAATATTATCATAATATTAGATTGACTTCTCTTGCGAAATCGCCGTTTTATTTATCTTTTCGACCTTACGTTTAATTGGTACAGGGTGAAAAAAATTAAAACTCATTATGTGCATTGGCCATTATTTGGTTAATATTTTATTTAAATCATTTTTTTTCTTCAAATAGTTGCCAATTAGTTGAATCAATTATGATTGAAAAGTTAACGGTGGACAATTCAGGACAATAGTTAAATTAGTCATTAGTAAATTTTAATTAATCATGTCTAATACTTAATTCAATCATTATTCGTATGGTTACATGAATAATCAACTTTTATTCAAAAAAATTATTTAAGTAAAATATCAACAAAATAATGCCCAATGCACATAACAAGTTGTAATTTATTTCACCATAAGGAATTTTTTAAAAGTTGTAAAATTGAGCATTTGTACTAAACAAAAACTTTTAAAATTAAAATTTTTTATTTATTTAATAAAAAACACACAGAACACTTGTTCTGTGTATGAAATGTACCATTTATATTCAACATCGTGCACAATATTATATTAACATGCTTAAAACAAAAACCGAACATAAAAGTGTCATATAGAAAACAATATTAACTTTGAGAATATCACACAAAAGTAGTTATCACAGTATTTTACCTTGTAAGACTTTTTTTAATCACAGTTGTACTTTGGTTTATTTCATAACACTTATTGGGTTAATCATGATTGATTCAACTAATTGCCCACGATTACATTTTTCCATCGTAATTGATTTTTTTAATCATTATTATTCGTAATTCATAATTAATTATTTATGTTATACTCGTTTGATTAGGATAATTTAATTAATTTGTATTAGCCGAGTAGTTTTAGAGGAAACAGAAGAAAACACTTAAGATAAAAATGTCTTATTCTTAAATCTATTATCTCTATTTATCTTATAAAACAAGTTGTTGTGCTACAAACAATTAATATGGTACACAGTTTTTTTTTTTTAAACGTATTTGGTACTTAATACTCAAGTTCAAATAGTACAGGAAATATCTAATAACTTATTATTCGTTATGTAATTGTTGAGATAAATTATAAAAACAAAATTTCATGTAAAAAAAAAAAAACTTTATTTGTGCGTACCTACAAAAAAGTTAATTTTTTAATCATGACTAATTTAGCTATTGATCATGATTATTTTTTTCAATCATGATTAATTTAACATTACTAATGAATAAATGTTTCAATCATGACTAATTTATTTGTACTTAAAAGTTAAAATTTGTATTCATGTTTAATTGTATGGTTAAATTGATCATGATAAAAAGTTAACTTAATGTGATGACTAAAATATCAAGTCATTAGGTTCACTATTAACTTTTAACTTAAATAAAAATTGTCCCTCTCTGACGAAGGCACTAATTTTCCCCCCAAAAAAAAGATCACAATTTTGTAGCTTCTTAGCACTATGTAATAGCTGAGACCTAAACCTAACGTTGGACGAACCTTTTTTGTATTTTTATGCGCAATTTTAAGATCTAAGCGCTGAAAACTAGACAGGCTGAAGGTAGAATTTTTTTTTGATTATGAAATACCCCAAAAATAACTCAAAAACTATAAGTATGGATTTTAAAATTAAATTCAGTACATGCGGCCTATTACAGGGCGATTCAATAAGGATAAGACACTCACTTTCTTTTAAAATAATTGCATTTTTATAGTTTTTTCTTTTTGGAGCTTATGTTGTCTTAAAATATTTCCATTAAGTTGTTAATTTACCAAAAAGTTATTAGGCTATATTCAAATTTTTATACATTTTTTTTTCACAACACTAACAACTTTTAAAACTTAAATGCTTACGTATATGTTTTATTAACTAAAATAAAAATAATTATCGACTAGACGGAATAGTCGAAAAATTAATCTTCATGTAAAACAGTAATTAAATATATACTTTGATATTTAAAGTTTGAAAATTGTTAGAACTCGGAAAGAAAATACAAATAATAACAATTATTTTAATATTGTAAAATAACATAAACTAAAGAAAACTAGAATCTAAAAAATGAAAAGAAACTAGTTTTTCTCCAAAACAAAAAACTAAAAAATTGCAATTTTCTTAAAATTTAAGAGAAATTGAATTTCTTATCCTTAATGAACCACCCTTTATACAATAAAACCTACAAAACTGTAATTATTTCCCTAGAAAATTAGTGTCTTACGTTTAATAAATCAGTCGGTTTAATATTATAGTACTTATATTATAATATTTTATGATCTCATCGAATTTGTTGCACGAACACTAATCCGATTAAAAAGTTGTCCAATAGAGACTTTTAGAGTTTAAATAATTTAATGGAAACTGTGTATCAAAAAAAAAAAACCGTTTCTGTCATAAGTCAAAACTAACAACGTTTGTAGGAAACATTTTTCAGTATAATTTATGGTTTGTTACATTCTGTTGTTGAAGCCATTTTAAGTTTATTTTAAACTTGATGCGTTTGTATTATGTTATGGTATGTGTTGTAACCGTGGTACATGAGTGTAACCGTGGTACGTATGGTAACCGTGGTTACCATATACACTTATTTGTATTATGGCTAAAAATAAATATATCTCCTTGTACGATTAAAATTTTAAACAACCTAAATAGTATTATATTAGTTATATGTGCATTGTGTAAAATTAGGCCATTATTACATCGTCAAAGCAATGGAAATCAATTATTCGGTTAGTTAAATAAATAAAATTTAGAAAATCACGCGGAACAGTTTTTTTTCAACGGTTAACGGCCGTCGACATTGCAGGATAATTTTTCTATAATGTAATATGTATATTCCAAGTACGCTTGTATTATCATCGTACAACAATAAATTGATTAAGGTTTATTTTTATAGTAAATAATAAATTATGTTTTCATTACAATAATTAACAAGCGATGTCCGCTCGACGAAAATATTTTCAGCAGTTCGATAATAATAATGGCATAGTACAATTTTTGTATTTAGTTTAAACACAACGGTATATCCGTCGGGTTTTGTTTGGCGTATTTTATACTATAAAATGGTTGTTTGGTTTACATTAATTATAACAAAAACATAGATATGACGATGTATACAAAATAAATAACATGTTCTGAACGGTTAAGCGGACAAATCCATTTCTGGGACAATTCCAGCCAGCTTAATAATTATAGTATAGGGTTTTGCTTATTCTCCGGTCATCATTTCCATGAATTCTAAAAACAAAATATAGTTTCTATTTAGATTTGACAATTTTTTTCACAAATTATTAATTGTAATAATATTAACGAGAACTTGTTGAGGATGCGAGAATATTAACAAAAAGATATTGTTCTTATAATTATTATTGTATTTTTAAAAAAAATAACAATTAATTTTACAATCCAAAGGTAAACTGTAGGGTTTTCAAGAAAAGGAAAATGACCGAACTAGTGCTAATAAAAAACGACTAATTTGTCTGTGGTTTTTTCTATTTCTCCAAAGTAAATATTAGGTAAAATATAATATTCCAAAGAGGGCTAACAGAATTTTATGGAAGAGTTAATCGCGCCCTCTCCATTTCCTTTATAATATAATGCTTTTAAATCCACAAAAACTCCAAATTAATATATTCTAATATCACAAAACGTTTTAGAGTATGATGTAGGTGGCGAAGTATCTCGTTTTACCACATTAATAATACACTTTATTTGTTTGTTTTCATTCCTTAATACAGGTAGGAGGAATTTACTATATATTTTTCCCGTGAAAAGTGTGGTGGTTAGTGAGGGAAAACCCCTTCGGGTCTCTAAATTTCGGTCCAATTTTATTGGCCCCTATTGGGAAACCCTAGTGTTCGTAGGGTATCATAATATGGAGTATCATAAAAAAACAATATGCATCAATTAATACTAACCGTCAAAGTCTACCGTTCCTGAACCGTCAGAGTCGATTTCGTCGATCATCATGTCCAACTCTTCGTTAGTCAGCTGGTCGTCGAGTTCCCTGAGGATTTCTTTCAGACACGACGTGGGGATGTAACCGTTGCCTTCTTTGTCGTACAACCTGAAGGCTTCTCGGAGTTCTTTTTGCATGGCTTCGTCGTCTTCTTCGACAATGAATTTGGCAGCCAATGTCACGAATTCGTCAAACTCCAAACGTCCGGATTCTTTGAATAAAAAAAATAAATAACAGCTATCTGCATACTCGCAGGGGTTGGGGAAACTTAAACCCTTCAAAACGCTTAGAGACTCGCAGTAAAATAATATATCAGCAACGGGTCATTTTCCCTAGAGTGGTAATGGGACGATATGAGTCGTTCAGAATCATCAATATGCTTCCACAACAAAGGTAAAAACAATCAATCAATAGCCATTTCCTCACACCCTTTGCTAACCCTTCCACAGCTGCTCCTGGCTATGTGATTAGACACTTGAAAAAAACCACATTGTACCATTCCAATGACGGTTTTTGGCCGCAGTTAAAGGATGCTTTTTGGAGGAATATCAAATTAATCGACAGTAAACTATTGGGATCACACATTTGTGGTGTGTCCCAACATTGGTATCTCACTCCCCTGTGTTCAACTTTGCTACATACCCTCCAAAATCGAACCATGACGTTGACCTGGTCTAACCAGCAGTTTATTAGTATGAAAAAACTTGGAGATAGAGTAAATTTGTGGATGTGGTCACCTGACTCCGTTGTCAATCGCATAAGTCGCATACGTTTCATTCTAAATGTACATTAGAATAAGGCGTTATCTGATAGTAGAAATTAAAATAATTCTCAAAACAACCAAGTTAATCACAGTTTCCAGTTGAAAAATCTCACACCCCTGGGTCTCACTCACCCGGATTTGGGCTTAAACGGTTTTGAATCCTATTTTTTTTTTTTTTTTTAATAGATACTACAATATTGATATCACGAGATACTTACTGTCTGCATCGACTTCTTCGATGAGTTCATCGAGGATCTTCTTGTTGAACGGCTGTCCCATGAGTCGCAGAATGTCGGCAACCATGTCGGTGGGTATACTGCCTGACCTTTCACGGTCGAAAGCGTCGAACGCTTTTCTGAGCACTGTACGCAAAAAAAAAAAAATAAATCAAAATACTTAGAATAAAGAAGCACAAGTATTAGCTATATAATATTTCGGTTTAGTTTTTTTTTTTTTTTAATCCATTGTATTGTAGTAAAATGAACGTTTACGTGAATTATTAAAGATAGAAGGCAAATTATAGCTTCTAAAATGTAGCATAATGCACAACACTGAACTTCTTTTGACCAAAATCCAATCACTCAAAGATTTGACTAGAAATTAATTTCTGAGTAAATTTTAAAAAGAAGATCAGTTCTTTTAAAAACACTATTTCCACTGTTTCTCATTATCCTGGCAATGGTTTGAATAATATGATTCAAACAAACGATAAGAGCACTGAATCCAAATGAAATATATCTATTCTCGGCTTTACTATTCTACAACTATTTCTAATATGTGTTAATAAATATATTGGATTTAATGTAAATACATTTTGTAAGTTAATTGAAGCATTTCAACGTTATAATCTATCATTTTATAATGTTCCAATCAAACGATCCAATTGGCTGTCAATTGGAGTCTATTATATATTATACTGTTTGCGTTTAATTCTTTTAACGATTTGGACTACTTCCAAATCACTCGTCTTCGATTAGTTTTCATAAAAAAAAAAAATAACATTAACAGTTTTTTTTTTACTTTCCGGAATTTTGTATATCTACTCATTTTAACAAGATCCACAAGTCGACTGACACGTTAAACATGATTTTATGCTATTTTTTTTAAAACATTCACATCTTAGGTACGCCATGTTATTATTTATTAAAAGTTATACAACCGAAATACAGTATTTTTTTTTTACAATAAAACATATTAGGTGAGGTATCTCACTCGTTACATTTTTGAACATCAATCCGAATTTATAGTTAGGTTATTATAAACTCTTAATGGAATTCCTATACCAGAGGCGAATACCAAAGGACTATATCCTTATGCTCCTCTAAACAAGGTACACAATTTTTTATTTACTGAACCACCAAAGCACACGTCTATTAGACAATATTTGATAATGTTGTTTGATGTTTCGGTATAAAATTCACGACCAAATAAGTAGGTAAATTGCATTATTAATAATTTATTTCAAATATTCACAATACAATTACACTGTTACAACAATACAATAATATTATGTTCAATATTTTATATGTACATTAATTTATTGAACACACACACACACACACACATCATGATTAAAGTTAGGTATACGTTTTTTATTATTATATATTTTTATAAAAGTTTAAAATAGTACTCTTTGTCGATGGCACATAGTGGTTTAGGTGTCAGAAGTACATATTATTTATAATTCATATTTAAAATGTATAATTCTTACAATATTATCATTCCACGTGTTAAACGACACCATTGGCTTTTAATTTTTATACACAATTTGTATATATAAAAAAAAGAGACTATTCTATCGCTATACATTTATGTGCACTTATCACACCTGTTGCACTAAGCGCCATTGGTATGCATAACTAAATACCTACTATTTGATACATACATGATATTAGTAAATAATACAAGACATATTGTGTTTGTCATAAAATCTCAGATGGTACGTTTACAGCACTGTACACGAGGAGTGTAATGAATAAAGGGAAAAGGATTTTAAGCATTCGACTGACTTAGACTTGTGTGATAATCTAACGTAGTAGCTATATATACAGCATAGGTGTTAGAGTAATGGGAAAGAGAATCGACAAGACGAATTGCTAAAATTCTCAACTGGTCATCCGTCGACAACTTAAAACGTTTTAACGCTGTTGAACTTATCAGACCATGTGTCTGTCGAGTCGTCCAACCTCGACATGTTGTTTGGCTGGACAACATTAAAAATATACAAGTGTTTTTTTTTTTTTACAAATTCAAAGTATTAAGTATTATAGTAAACTAAAAATCTAATCGATAATGGCGAACATTAGTAAAACAATTAAAACGGTTATAAAATAAGTTGAATTAATAAAGTACGTGTTTAATTTAAAAAATATAAATATTAATTGTTTAATAATGATAAATAAAAATAAATAAAAAAAACGTTCCTGATATAAAAACCAAAAAAATACAAGTACAATTCCAAATAAAAATAATATTAAAAATTGTCAATGTAAAAATGATGTTTTTTAAAAAAAAAAAATGATATGTTATATTATTATGCTATTATAAACGATAGCAGTTATTAAAATCAATGAAAAAACACAAACACAAATAATATTAGAATTATTAACAATATGGTAAAAAAACATGTTGTTTTATGTAAGCTGTTAAACCATACTCGTATAGCGGTTATGCGATTGCTGTTGTCATTATCTGGTAATAATAAAAGTAAAATATAATATAAATTAAATATTATTGAAAATTAAATTAGTAGGTTCATATCGCTATTAACATGTTGGCATTACATTATTTATTATACATGTAAGTCCTAATATTCGACGATGATAGTTATTGAATAATTATCCATAAATTATATTAAGCAACTATAACGCATAATTAAAATAAAAATGTTAGTATACAGAGTGATATTCGAAGTAAGACACTCATTTGATAATGAATAATTACAATAATTACAATTTTAAAGTTGGTTTTTACTTTTGAAAACATTTGTATTTATAGTATTTGTACAAAAACTCTAAACTTAAGGCTTTAATCACTTTGAAAGGATGTGATATTTAAAACTAGTTATCGACCAGTCAACATTTTCAGTAAATTATTATATTTTCTAATTTAAACATTTAGGTGAATAATTGGAAATTTTACAATAATACACGTCATATAATTATACTAAATATTTTTTGAAAGGAAAAAAAAATACAAAGTTGTAGTTAATTTCAAAGAAAATGAGTGTCTTACATCGATAAATCCATCCCATCATATTTTTGCGTTAAATACTAAAAATGTGGTTATTTGTCAGGATATATCTTTTGTATATGAACGTTTATATGTTTTATTTTGCTTATAAACTTAGTATTTTAGTACGGTAATAATAATATATTGTAAAAGATTGTAGTATATTTAATAGTTTATCATAGTATTCGTTTTTTCATGGCAAACCAACAGATTAATGAAAATTCAAAGCTAACATTTTTTTAAAAAAATGGTTTGTCTACGTTATTATGGAATTAAAAACACATGATCCCATTTGAATACAAAAAAACCAGGTCCATACATCTTGTTCTGCGTACAAGGGACGAAGATAAAAAAGTCCAAAGCATTGAAAGATATAGTGATATATGTACCTACCTACCCATACAAGTAAAGGGAAACAAATAATTTATCCAAAACATTCATATTATTTCCTAAGATAATTAGTGTCCTACGCCAACAAATGTCACACCCTGTATTTTTTGTAGAACCGCGTTTTATTTCAAACAGATGACGCGTCTAATGTCTTTCGCTCTAGTTTTTTTTTCTTTTAATTTTTTTAGTCATATGCGAGGAATACGTCTTGTAAACGAGACGAATTATATAATCTAAATATAGATTGTGTTCATAACATAAATATCCACGATGCAGAGCACTGTGTGTTATGGACGTGCCAACGCGACCGGTGCCAAGAAGTCGGTTATTATTGTTGTTATTATTATTATTATTAACATTATCATTACGCTAATAAGTAAGAAACGGTTGGTTATAAAAAAAAAAGTTTATGGAACACGAGAAATAAGATAGAGAGTCTGTGGATTCGCCTGTGTTGTACTGTTAAACGCGCGGAAATTCAATTTAAAAATAGACATTCTCGTTTGCGGGTGTTAATGGCATAATATATATATATATATATATATAGTGAACACAAAACCTCAAAGTCTGTCTCTATCACTATAATTGGCTTTGGCGTTTTCGTTGAAATTCAGAAATTTGAGTTGGGCTAAATGGGATAGTTGTAAATGAACGGGGCAAGTATAACAACATGCCGGCCATTTTTGTATTCTATTTAATCATGACGTAATATATTAATGTCTTATAATTAAAAATGTAATGATAAAATTGTCAATTACTTTATTCGGAAAATAACATTTACAATAATTGTCCCAGGGCGATTTCTTACAAGCATAAGAAATTGGGTTTGTTTTACTCATTGCAATTATTTTGGAAACATTTTCATTAGTGTTAATACGTAATTACCAAATATTTTATATACATGTTTTCCATAGTGTTGTCGACTTTTGAAACCTGTTTGAAAATTAACTCTTAAATGAAGAAAAATGTGCAATGTTGTTTTATTGAAAGTATTCAGTTCGACCAGTCCAAAATGTTCAGCAAATTATTCTCATTTTTAAAATGATAATATTCATTTGAGTTTCAAAAGTCGCTATGGAATAAAATTTATTTGTTTTCAACAAATAAAAACATTAAAAAATTGTAATTATTTTCGCCAATGAATGAATGTTTTATTGAAAAAAAGTATTCTGCCTAAGCCGTTTGTGTAGTAATTCTACAATCTGTAAACGTTTTTTTTTTATTCTACAATAAATACAAGTGACTACAAGTTGCTCATAAGGCAATATAAAATAATAACTAAAGAAATCAAATTAAATTAATTGATTATAATTTTTGTATTGAAGAATAGCCATCCGTTGATGGAAATTTATGATAATACTATATTCAATGTGGTTTTAAAAAATGTACTCGTTAGCCCGGTTAATTTTTTTTTTTTTTAAACTTGAAAAAAAAAATAGTTATAAGAAATTATTGTTTTTTTTTTTATGTATGTATGCTAATGGTTGGTTTTATTATGTACATCACGGGTTTTGCCCGATTGGGATTTTGGTTTTTTTTTTTTTTTTTAAACAAAAACGCGTTAAATCCAAACGGGTTTTTTTTTTACCTGAGATTTGTTCTGGCGGTAAATCTTCCTGAAAATAACAGACAATAACGCGTTAAACATAATAATTGCAGGTATAATTAGGTATCTTGTGATATTGTTATTCCAAACGATATGAATGGAAAAACTTTGGCAACACACACCGGGACGAACGACAATGGTCGTGAAACATTAGAAATCGAATTTCAAAAGGTCGATAATATTCGCTGATGACGGGCCAATTTCACAGGTGTGTGCATGTTAAATACCCGCGTTAAACTATTTTTTTCTATTTAACCGAAAAAATAAATGCATCTACTCTGAACCGGTATGTATATTTTTTTTTAGGTGTGCCCATCTTTAACGTAGGTACCTTACATTTTTAAACGTATATCGTACATATTATTATTATGCAATGTTGTATTTAACACACACCACACACACTCGTGAGTGACACGGGCACGATGACAAGGTGTGGATTTTACTTACCATATTTTTTTATGTGTTGTGTTGGGTTTTCGTGGATGCAAATTCGTTTGGAATTGAAGAGGAAAATCGCTCGTTGTGCTTTGGCCGGTCGTGAACTGGAGAATGATATTTCCACACGGGAGAAACGCAGGGCCGCCCCGCCCTCCCCCACCGCATCCACAATTCCCAACGTCTTTGGGTTTATTATGTAGGTATATTATGGTCCGGCGCTAACCGCAGAGCTGTGCTGGCCGTGTCCGTGGGGAGAAAGGGACGGTGTGAAAATAAAACCGATAAATTTAGAACTTTTGGAAGCCGATCTGCAACACACAAACAGACTCTTAAGCACATATATAAATATATACATTTTTATACATATAATATATTGTACGAATATTCGTACGATTTCAGGAGTCGTCTTTCCAATCGGATATTGCTGGTATAGGCAGTGGCGTCCCTAGACCCTTTTATAGGGGAGGGGCGTCAACTTCATAAATTATATAACTATATATATAAACACACTAATTACTAGGAATTTGACCTGGTTTCACACGAGTTGTGTAACATCATATAGGGCATAGGCATAGCTGTTATAGATCCTACAAAAAATATAGAAATAATTAAAATAAAACATTTCAAAATTTCGGCTTTTAGGCAAAAACAGGGTTACTTCATTACTAACAGAGTCACAGTATTTAAAATATTTGTGTATATATTTAAATATAAATTAATAAACGTTAAAACGCATAATAAGCATAAAAGTAATGTTGATAGTTATTAATTATATTATAACAATAATATCACAGAATAATCAATAACCATGGTTGAACTACATGGTTTATCCACGAGAATAACCAGATACCAGAAGGGCCACAAAATTCCAAACCGTGGTTTTTTCTCTTACCAATTAAGACTTGTAGAATACCTTTTTGACGTTTTTTCCTTAATGAACAGTTTTTTTAAAATTATAACGTGTATTTTTAAAGATACGCTGGCCTAATCGAGACCTATCGAGATAAAAAATAATAAAACAATTTATTAAATAGTATTTTATGATTTACGCAGAAAATGGTATTAATCTTGAAAGTATATATAAGTATGTTTGTTTGTATTGAAAAAACGTTTTAGAACATTTCTTAGAAAGGAAATAAGTTTAAAATGCACCTGCATGTAAAAAAAACAGGCATTTTATTGACCGTAATAAAATAATAAATCCCTATTAGAAAAAAAACAATTAAAATAGGATATCAAATTATTTATTGTTTTCATACAATTTTTAATATTTTACTATTAGGGCAATGTATCTTTTTGGATACATGCGATTTTGTACTTGAATAACTATATAACTAAATAAATAAGCGATTGGCTTTATTTTACTATATAGATTGGTTTAGATAGTATATTTCAAACAGAACTGAAAAAGTAAAAGTTAATAGTTAATGGTTAATGTGAGTACCACCTCAAGGTGGCCACATTTCACCGTTATTATTTAATTTGTACATAAATGATATTAGTTCAGTTTTTGAATATGCAAACTTCAGCTTATTTGCAGATGGTCATAAATTATACTACATTATTGACTCATTAGAAGACAGCCAAAAATTACAAAAAAGATTTCAATGACTTTCGGGATTGGTGCCATTATAATGGCCTTCAAGTCAATATTAATAAATTATCACTTCCTTCATTTAATTCCAGAACCCCTCAAATATATTTTGTTATTTCAAAACACAGAAATCTATACGGGTTTTTTCACATTTCAACAGGGCTTTGGTCTCTTTGTAACAATCTAAAAAAATAATGCCATAGACATTTATCATTCCTCTCAAGTGAAACTACAAACCACTACATTACTGTTCTAATTATTTGTATTATATTAATTGATAATATTAAATTAACAGTTTTATTACCTATTGTAATTTATAATTTAATATTATTATACTACTACTACTGCTGTAGCCTTGTTACTGTAATATTAAGTAAAATAATTTTACATTTAATCACAATCATATTACTTATAATTATTGTAATTATTAATGCTTAAGTGTGATTTGAACTTCATCAAGCCCATTATTAAGAACACTAAAATAATACCTCAATAATCGACCACTTAATATACTGTGCTGGTTTCTAAAATAAGTAACAATTGTTAACTTTTTCGCACAAATTTAAAACTTAATTTTTAACGTTTGTAGAGTAGACACTGTCCACTAAACAGAAAGTGAGAATTTTCAGTGTTCTACTTATTTAACTCGTTATAAGTTATAACTTATAGTTTTCCTATATAGGTAACGTTAGAAAAAAAATGTCCAAAAATAGTGCTATAATATAAAAATACAATTTTATTTCACTAAAAAAACGACCTAATAAGTATTTTTTTTATAAACCAAACAAATTATTAAAAAAAGTCTTACAAAGTAAAATATTGCGATAACTACTTTTAAGTGTTTTCTCAAAGTTTATATTGTTTTCTATATAACACTTTTATGTTGGTTTTTTGTTTTAAGCATGTCAATATTATTTTTTGTTAAATGATATTGAATAAAACTGTTACATTTCATACACGGAACAAGTGTTTTTGTATTAAACATATATACATTTTCAATTTTAAAAGGTTTTGATTTTTGAACAAAGGCCCAATTTAACAACTTTTAAATAATTTTTAGGCTAAATTAATATTTTATAAATTATATCCATCCATTAAATGCTAGTGATAAATTAGGCAAAATTATAAAAAGTTTTCGTTTAAAACGAAAAAAAATGTACCTAGAAAAATAGTTTGTTGTGTGTTTGAAATTGGTCAATTATTGTTCTAATAAGCGTGTCAATTATATTATGTAAGGTTAAGTGAAAAAAAATACATATTATATCGTGCAAAATATAAAAACTGTATAATGCAGTACTGTAGTATTATGGACGTTAGCCAAAGGCTTATTGTGGCCAGAACATGGTAATACATGCGTTATAATATTATACACCATACCCATAAGCACACACTAACCGAGAGAATGTTTATAAAAGTGTATTATTAGATAGCAGCCGCGACACAGTAACGTGCTCTGATCCCACGCAAATATAATATTAAGTATATACATTTTTTTTTTTTACTCGGTCATTTTTTCGATTTCATCTGTTAATTTTAAAATTCTTATTCTACAATACAACGGAGCATAATATTGTTTTCTAATGTTGTTTGAAAACGAGCACAATGATTATCCAAAATAACTGACCAGCTAAATCGATTAAGGCCAAATATTTAAAAAAAACATTTGGCCACAACATAAAATTAAGACAATACTATCATATTTTGAAAGGTTGCTGTCGTATAAAGAACACTGTTTCAAGAAAATACTGAGCCATCTCAGCTGTTAAGAGTCTCCACACTTCATATCAGGACATATCCATATTATGTATTGATGTATCTGCATGAAGTGTGGATAATCTTAACTGAGTTAACTTCTGATTCATTTTCTGTTCTTCCGATTCATTTTTTTTTAAAGTAAAGTCAGTTTTTTCGTGTTGTCCAAAATTTGAGAATTTTTCTTATACTTTTCTACTTCAGAAAGCTAATTTAATTTTACATAAAATGTGTATACTTCTAAGTGGGATACTTATTAAACCGACACTATACTGTGATCTGAGTGTGTGCCTGCGTGGGTACAAACGAAAGAGATAAGTAGGGTACTTTTGATTTTTTCTTCGGAATAATGTAAGAAATGTGGCAATCAGAAAAAATAACGATGATTCATAATATTATGTTGCCGCAAAAATTGTTGGCACGTTTTCGTGGGAAATCCGAGCTTTTGGTTGCACACCGTGTTTCTGTTGATTTGATAAATCTTCACACACACACCAAAAATAAAACAGGTCAAACAAAAATTAATTTGTCCATACTGTAATGGCCCAATACACGGGGCGATTCTTTTCTTTCGTGGACCACTCAATATCTCACCGGGTTTAGTTACTAATTTTTTTCCACAGTCTTTGTTATACAATGTGATCTCAATTTTTCACAATTTTGTTTTGTTTTTACCACTTCCCCTCCCGCCCCAAACTAGTTTTTTTCATAGCAACTTTTTAAAGGGGTAGACACATAATAATAATAATTTGTAGAAAATTGAGATCACATTATATGAAAAAAAAACTATATTATACAGAGTGTTCCAGCATGAAAGGTAAGTAATAAGTGATTGGACATCTGGGACACCCCCAAATAAGCCCCTCGTTTTTATTTTTTGATTAGTAAAAAATTGAAGGTTTCGACAGTTAAGTAAAAAAATGACCTAAAAAAACAAAAAATTATTCCATGTTATTCAGTGCGAAAAGCTAACCTTAAAAGAGGGGTCACATCATTTTCAGTCCCTTTCGGTCCCTAACTCAAAAAATGATAAGAGAAAAATGATTAGAGACTAGAAATAAATGGTAAGTGATAAAAGATAAATGCCAAGACATAATTGATAAGAGATAAATTATGAGAGATAATTGGTAAGAGATAAATTATGAGAGATTAGAGATGAATGATAAAATATAGGTGCTAAATGATAAGAGTTTGGAGAAAAGATAGATATATATAATAAACTAGATTGCTAAATGTACACGCCACCAATAGAGAAGATTGAAGCAGCCACTTCCGCCATTTCGGTGGGAATTAGAACCTTATCACGCGAGAATAATATATGTTTATAACAATCATGTATATATATATATATATATATATATAATATTGATATAATAATATAATATACAGATAGAATATATTATATGCATTGATAACACACATAAATCCCACCAGAATGGCTTCAATTCTTATCGCTAGTTAGCAATCTAGTTTATTATATATATATATCTGTGGGAGATAAATAATTAGAAACAAGAGATATGAAATAAATAATAAGATATTAGTGATAAGAGAAGAGTTAGGGGCTGAAAAAGACTGAAAATGGTGTGACCCCTCTTTTAAGGTGAGCTTTTTGCACTGAATAACAGGGAATATTTTTTTAAAAAAAATTAATTGTCGAAATCTTCAATTTTTGACTTGTCCAAAAAATGAAAACTAGGTACTTATTTGAGGGTCCCAAGATGTCCAATCACCTAACCTTTCCTTTCATGCTGGAACACTTTGTATAAACAAAAAAAAAGTTCAATTATTAATTAAATCCGGTGAAATATTGAGCGGTCCATAATAAAAGAATCACCCTGTATAGGGTAAACCTATTACGCCAACGTCAAAGCCAGGCTTTTATTTTTTTTGGGGTGGGGGGCTGAACATAACTTAGCCTCAAAATTTCTTTGACAATTTATTTTATTGATAAAAAAAAAAAAAATTTCCAAGCCAAATATACATTCATTCTTATACCTACCTTAAACAAATGTGGATAAAAATGAAAATAGTGTAATATTTTGACAGCTTACTGATTTTTAATTAGAAAATGTTTGTAGAAAAAAATCAATTAAAAACACTTTTTTTTAATAATTCCAAAATTGTATAAGTTTAGATATCACTAGACTGTAATGTTTAAAAAAATAATGTAAATTTTAACTTGGAAAAAATCTTTTTTTTAAATTTTGAAAAATGTTCCTTACGTATTTCAGTTAATTCAGTACATTAATATTGTAAATAATATATTTTTTATTTATTGTGTTTTATATATTTTCAGGTTTAATGAGCTGGCTTTACAAAGAAATCGGTCTGACTGTTAAAGTTAAAAAACAAGCATTCGAGAACTAATTGACTTTTTACATAATTTATCGTTGTTTGGTCGCATATCAAATTAAAACAATTCTAATTATATATATAGGTAATATATTTTATTTATTTATCTTATTCAGTTACAATAACATAATTTTAAATTTATAATAAAATATTTGCAACACATCAACATTATATTTTTATATCGTTAAACTATTATATAAAACAAACACGTAACAGAAAGCTTATAATTAGGCAAACGGTTACAACATAGTATAATATTATGTGATGGTTAAATTATTATTTAACGTAACAAAAAAACAGTGATTTTAGGTTACAAATGACTAGGTGGGGGGTATAATATTTTATTTTATAAAATTATAGTATAAATAATAACAATTATAATAATAATAGTATCGTAGGACGTCCGATGAATGTGAAATTTGTACTACAATATTAAATAAAACAGTACCACAATATAGTAAAATTACTTGGTCGCTACTTAATACGCACGAAAGCTAACGATTAAATTAAATTTCTCGAATAAGTAAAAAAAATATAGTAAATAACGAAATAAAAAAAGCCTATTAATACGTTTGGCACTTCGATAATCAAAATATGTATTACGATAATATAATATAACAGCGTAGGTACTTAGATTAGATTAAGATATATAAAGTCTGAACGTTACGCGGAAATAACGATCGTTAACGTTTAAGCGTGGTAAATTAACTAATTGAACGACTCGGGGTATTTCGAATAGATTTCATTGATGACACGCAAGTCTTGTTCTTTGGTGCACGAGTTGTCGTCCGAGACGATTTCTTTTAGACAATCGTTTAGGTCCGACAATTTGTGGCCTCGTTCTAAGTAGTCAGTGTTGAAAATCACGTTCTTACAAAGTTCCAAATATGAAGTACGGCTCTGGAAAAAAAAAAAAGATTATTAAATTAAAATTTAAACTCCCCGAACAAGGTCGGCTAAGAATAAATGTTTTTTTTTTTTTACCTCTTCTTCGGCCGGTATATTCAACAAGCAACGAATAACGATATCGACTAAAACTTCAATATCGTTGACATAAAAAAGTTTGGCGACCTTAGGATCGGCCAACATGTCGTTCAACATTTTCACCACGGAATTTTTCGTTTTTTTCTTCAAATCCAAAATATTCACCGGGTCTTCTAATGTACAAAAATATATATATTCATACATAATAATTACATCTATTTGTCCCTTTTGTACTGACTTTCAGTGTTGAGCAACAGCAATAGATTTTCAGTAAGCACTTTGGCGTTATCTCTCGTGGACAAACTATTCAGTACGACGTTGGCCTCGGTGTGTGAAAACTGAAGATTGTAAGACAACAACAAGTTGATCATGCAGTTGACATTTTTCTCGTCGATATTGATTTTCGATTCAACGTTTTCAATGTCGCGTAAGATCTTTGTGACAAAGTCCAAATTCATGTACTCTGTCGTAATAGAAATCAATCGTCGGGCGTTAAACACAGTTAATTGTTGTTGTCGATACGAATATCATATTATGTACGGTAATACGGTTTACCAAAACAAATTATCGGCAGAGTCTCGCCAACTGATAACACCAACGTGAGAAACTCGGCGAGCAACATTTTTTTATCGTCGTCGTCAACGTCGTTTTGCATCTCTCTGGAAATACAAATTATTATTATTATATTTTTACGCCACACAAACGACATAAATCCAATTCACCTCGCCAGTTCCATCGGAAGTACCGAATTAATAACAATATCGACCACGACGTAATTCAACTTGCACAGCTGCGTAAACACTTCCAGTAGCCGTTTACGAATCGCCCAGCGTAGTTCCATTTGATAGTAATCGAGTAGATTACTGACGGATCTAAACTGGTCGACTTTTAAAACGTGGTTTATCACCAGAGGATCGGCGTTTTTCTAAAACGATAATAGACAGTTATCAGTTAATACCGATAAACAACAGTGCGGTAAATTTGTAAAATTACTCAAAACCAAATTACCAAGATACCGCCGAGTTTGACTAAGCAGTCTTCGATTTGTACGTGATCGTCGTAAATTTGCCACGAACGTTGCTGTGAATCTTCTTTGGCTTCCGACAGATATTCTAAAAGCTGTTGCATGCTTTGCCCGTCTTTTGTGTTCTCCAAACATTCTACGGGCAATTTGTCGATGGTCGGTGGAAATGCATCTAATACGTCACGTACCGAATCTAAGTTTGATTTGGCTCGTTCACAAACCAGCTCGGACAAATACTGAGTAACGACCGACACGGCCACTTGAGAAAGGTTATAGGATAACCCAGTGTGATTTCTAACCTATATGGGGAAAAAAAATACCGTTAAATAATAATTGTTTTAGATAATTAAAAAAAAAAACCGAGAACAAAGTATTTATCAGTTAAAACAATTACTGTTTCTGTAAAAAAAAAAAATAATATATTTGTCAGTTTATTTTTAATACATTTTATTATTTTGTGTTAATTATTAGCTTAATAAAATGCAACACGACACATCCGAAAAAATATTTTGCTTATACTTTTTGGTCAGATTATTTTTACCCGACTAATATTGATAACGAGAGACCGGACGTGAAAACCCGAAATGTACCATTTGTAAGTGAGTTTAGCTAATAAATTTGTCAAAATAATAAAGAATCAGAAGCGAGGAACTAGTTTTAATTGAGTACAAGACTGACGTATTACAACAATTAACTTGGTCGATAATTTAAGTTAAAATATCGTACGTGTTTAAAATGCAACACGCCGACTCTTTAAATGTATTTATTTAAGTACGTACATAATATTTAACATACTTGTTGCACTATTTCGTAAATATCTGGAATAGTAATTTTGGTTGATTGTAAGGAACTAGAAACGTTTTGGATTGCGTCCTCAGGCTCGGTTTGAACGCTCTGAAAACAATTTAGATGTATACAAATCAGTTAGGTATTTAAACGAAAACGCAATATTAATAATATTGGTCTTGTAGTTGAGTACACAAAACATTCAGCGGTATTAGGTTATTCAAAATGTAATTTTTGAACAAATAATATTAACCTTGTCGTCGGATTTATGAGACACGGGTGTATCTAAGGTGTTGTGTAACATTTTCTGTTTAAATTTCTTCTGTCGCTTCATTAATGTTTCAAATATTTTGACCCTTTCGGACGACTGATCACCTTTGTCGATTTCTTCTCGAATCACAACAATACAACTTTCCAAAAATTTTAACACTTGAGTGTCTTTTACCTAAATAAAAAAAAAAAAAATTACAATCAACTACAAAATATTTCAACTCGAATAAATAAGCATACGACTTACGTAAATAGTTTTTACATAGGTGTATGGCACGTATCCGAGTTCACCGTGGGCGTTAATAACTAAACACCAACTTTTTTTATCGGCGACATCTCTGTAAATATAAAACTCATCGTCGGTTTTGAAATTGAGTGTCGTTTTAGACGACGAATCTTCATAATCGTATATGGCTTTTAGCATTTCATAATCTAAAATAAAAAATACGTTGTAAAAAATGTTTACAGTTGTTTTGTTATATTATTCTTTAGACGATCTGGTTAAAGATCAAAGAAATATAATTGATTTTTTTTAAAATTCTACATGAGAGCCATCTAAGAATTGTATTTTTTTAGTTTGTTTTTATAGGTGCTATATTAATTCCTTTCAATAACTCTTTAAAAATTTGATGAAACTTGTAAAAACAATTACAAACCGGAAAAAAGATTTCACTGAAAACTTTGTACAAGTATAATCAAAAACTAATACAGTGTAACCTGTCTAAATCAGACACTAGATAACTGAGATAACGGGATGAGACAGAATTTGTGTGTACGCTTTGCCGAGTGAGACGGAAAACTATTTAATACTGGAATTTTATCTAAAGACTAGGTATCTCTGTACTGAAAAAAATTGTCACATCGACCAATCCGATTCCTAACGTTTCAGTAATGGTTTTCTTAACTGTGGACAGACCAAACAAGTTCTAATATTCATTACGTACACAGCAATAACGTAAAAAAACCAACTAGCGCTTATTTACTAAACAACGGAATGTTAAAACGTTAATTGAATAAATGGAAACGTTAACTGTAGAAATGCGTTAATAAAAAAGAAAAGGTAGAATATCGCAGGACGTATAGGAAATTTACTATAATTTACTTGATTCCGAAGTGTCGTTCATTTTGCCTCCGTTATAGTTGTTGAAAATTATTAAAAACTTTTTTTCAGCAATTTTTTTTATTAAAATTCGAAATACATCGACACATTTCACCGTTAATTGTGCAAGTGATTATCATTTTTATTTATACGAGCACTCAAATTATTACAATAATTATTATTTTAACGATAATATCCTGGCGTTTGGCGATCAATATTAATTATGTACTTATAAGTGGGCACAGCGCAACCGCGCCGATAACATACTGAATACTGATGATAAGTGTCTTCCATAGACCTGTAAAGAAAAAATAACATGTTAATAGGTCTGTGCTTTAGATAAAAAAAAAAAACACTGATTAAACTTTTCTCCCCCATAAGAAAATAATATGTAGTTTTCGGAAAATATAACAAGACTTAAAAGCACAGTATTGTACTAACACATTTAGCCGAATTCGTTTTGTCTATTTTGACTAGTTAATTTAAATAATAAATAATATACAATAATACAATAAAGCGTACTAATGGTATTTATTTTTTTAAATAACCAACGCCTAACGAAGTGATAACGTCTGATAAGATAAAAGAAGGTTTAGAACATGGCTGCCACTTTTTTTTTTTGTTTACTTCGGAAGTGACCCTTCCGATTTCATCTATTTTGTGATAAAACTACAAATTACTGGAAAAAACCATTAGCAACCCCATTACAAAATAGATAAATAGATCACAGAGCAACCTTACGACACCTAAACATCATTTAATCATGAACCACTCAATATGCCATTGGTTTTTATTTAATAATTGTCATTTTTTTTTCATAGGGTTTTTGTATAATGTGATCTCAATTTTCCACAGATTTTGATGTTCCTACCCCCACTTACAAACTAATAGTTTTTATATCAATTTTTGAAACTCAAATGGTAAAGCATACATTCCGTTAACTTTTAACTCCGTTTAAGTTTTAAAAGTTGATATAAAAATAATTAGTTTAGGGTAATAGCAAAAAAAAATGTGTGAAAAATTTAGATCAGATTGTATATCAAAATACTATGAAAAAAAACTGTCACTGTTTTATTATAATTCATAATTTTTTTCAACACTTTCAAATTACTGATTTTCTTAATTTATTTATTAATAAAAAAATAAACTAATGGGATGAAAATAATTAATTACACTTCATTGTAAAACCAATATCTTCTCAACTCAGTGTCGAAGCTAATACATATTTATACACACAATTTCCAAGGATAAAAAATCAGCTGAATTTTGACTAGCTGGAAAATAATAAAAAATTGATAAATAGAAAGCACTTTCAAGAAAACCTTAAATGTGTACTAAATGCAAAAGCTGTTTTCACAAGATTTGCTAAAGCGAACGGAATCTCTGTTATTTTACTTGTATATTTTGATAAAATAAGTAATCTAAAAAAAAAATGGCTCCTTTATTTCCAGATGAGAAACCGTCCAGCGAAATGATCCATTACACTTACTGGCAAATGAATAACAACCCGTCTCAGACAGCGAATGCGTAATGCAGAGAAAAATTTGTATTTAAAATATAAAACACAATCCACCAGTCTTATATTTACTTACGTAATGTTTATATTATTATTATTATTAGTATAATGGTAAAAATGTATACAACACAATATGTACAATTGCACATTTATAATTATGATGGGAGTTCTTTTCGAGACTAATCCTTTAGTCTTGTTTACTATTTTTCTTCAATCCCAGATAATATCCTGTAATAAAAAATTTATAAAATGTCAACTTTTTATTAGGTTAATTCAAAACACAGAAATATTTGCGTTTCGAATTAACGAGAGTACTTGCCAGTATGGAATCCGGTCATATAGTATGACATCAACATTGCAGTTAACGCTTCTCTTTCGTTTTTCGGTAAGTTATCTAAGAAATCTGGTGGCGGCGGCGGAGGCGGAATGAAGGTCTCATTGTTCTTAATAAAAATACAAAAACAATATTAATACCACAGTTGAACACTATATTTTCTTATATAATATATTTTATTTACCTCATAATGATGGTGTTTGTCATTGGCTTGAACGTTTTGGTACTTCAAATCACTCTAAAAAAAAAAAATCATAATAATAATTTTAAATTAAAATGAACAAAATATGTACAATAATGTTGTATGTTTTGTCAAAAAAATCACGCAAAATTTAACTATTAATGTAACACATGTTTTCGTTAACCTATTACCTTACTGTGAACTTATTATATTTTTAGTTTCTTCAATGAATTAACAACTATTTAATTAATTATTCTCTAAGAAAAAAAAATATTTATTCTAAAATTAAGACAAATTTGGAAATTTAGTTTTTTCCCATTTAAAAAAAAAAAAATTTCCCAAATCAAAAACTGTAGGAATTGATTGACATTTGAGCTAATAATATGAAAAAAAATTATAAGTGTCATCCCTGGGGGTTAAGAGTATTTATAAGTAAAATAATAATTATTTATTAAATTTATTTGTACTTTATTTACTTTTATTTCTTAATTTAGCTTTCTGTAAAATCTTTTGCGGTTTTCATAAAGTTAATACAAATCATTATCGTTCTCAGCTTTGATTAATATTTTAAATATAGTATATATTATATATGATGTGGAATTTAATTAAATCAATTTATTCAATACATCAAAAACTTACTTTTTTCTTTAATTTTCCTTTCTTTGGTTTGTCGTCCTAGAATAAAAATAAATTGGTTAGCATTTTATTGGAAAAATGTATAAAAGGGTTTTTTAAACAAAAAGGCAATTTCATAATACACGTATATATATTTTTCTCCTTCCCTTTCATTCTAACTATTTGGTATAATGATGATATTTATGTATATAAATTAAAAAACACATGTATATTTATTTTATCTATCATATGTACATAACCATGGTTGGCTACGTATTCTTGATTATGTCTCCAACAGTGACAGTGTACTATTTGTAACGGCCATGAATGGTTATTGTCCCGATGGTACAGTCGGGTGTACTTACACTGCAGACGGGTAAATTGGAGGACTCGTGATCCGAGTTAAAAATCAAAACCATACATAGTAATATAGATTATATAGTTACTCGACAATCGAACATACAAATATCTATCAAATACCTTATCGTTGAGACTTAATTCGGAAAAAGAATCGATCGGCTGTAGTTTGGCTTTGGCTTTTTTTTTCACTTTTTCATACTGTCTATTGTAGTCATCTATGAGCTCGGAATCGTCGACTTCGCCAGCCTGAAATAAAAAATAAAAACACCAAATTAAGTAAAACGTAAGGTGAGTAAAATGCGTAAACGTGTGTAATCCTTAAAACTAATCGATTTGTTCTTACGGAATTTCTGTTGAACAATAAGACCGTCGGTTTTTCGGACATGACTATTAATAAATATTATATTATTAAAAATGTTCAACTATAGGTATTTATTTATTACACTCTTAGGTTATAATAATTATTTTAACATCTCGTCGTTCAATAGCCGGGATCAAAATATACGAATATCTGACCAATCGCATATATTATCCCTATTGAAATATTATTGTTTATTTATTAAAATGTAAAATTTATACTATTTTTATGACCGGTAAATATTACACTCGAGTCGAGACGAGACCGAAGACACCTTTAAGACAAAAGATAACAGTTGCAGCGCGGCGGCGGAGACTGATAACAATTAACACGGAGAAGATATGTTATCACACAAAAACGCGGCGGCCATCTTCTTAGGGCTACACCACTATATAATGTTATATTACCCAAAGCTGAGATGTTCATGAAATCAGATCTATACCTAAATACGATGTAAATTCGATTCGCAAAGACTAGATTTTAAATCATCAAACTTATATTGCATATATTTGCACATTCGACATTTTTGCCTATAATGATTATTTTTAGATTTGTTAGCAAATTTGTAAGTATAATTATTAATGACAAAATTATACACAATACGATGGAGAGTATTAAACGATTAACGAACATTCTGGTAATAAAAAATCGTCCAAAATGTCTAAAATAATCGTCATTGTTCTTTTAAATTTGAAAACACCGCCAAAATAATTGCAATTCAACATTATCCCGATACGTGAAATAACTTATTAAATAATTAACCCGCGTAAAAATGTCATTTATACGTCATTATAACGTCAAGTCGGCTATTTGAAAACAATATTATGGTCATTATATTCATTAACACCCGAGCTCTAGATATCGACACATATTATTGCCATAATACCGAATAGGTCTTCACAAAATGGTCGTCACTTTTTTTTTTCTTTGTTTACACCCTTTCGCTTTTTTTTTATCTATAATTCTACGGTCGTTACCGTCGTCACCGCGGTTACTGCGGTACGGTTACCGCCCGGTCCGCGGCGCGGCGGGCCGGCCGTGATAATATCGACATTGTCCATTGGTTCCCAAAACGTACGGGCGGGCAAACGACAGCTGTTTTGTTTGAGAACCAATTGGTAATGCGCGGATGACGTCAAACTGGGCGCTCGGTAGCGTTATCTTTGGCCGTCCAATCAAACGTGGATATCACACCAGCAGCAGCAGCAGCCAGTAGCTCGCGGATACACTGCACTCCATAGTCATAACTCCCGTCCGTACCCTGTGCAACTGCAGCAGCTGTACACGGTTGCGCCGAATCGACTTGGAGTCAACAGGACGGACTCGTTTGCGCCAAACTCGGTTTGCCCCGACAACAAAAGCACCGCGTCTTGGCCAGTAAGTTTCCAAAGAACAACCACCGTCGGTTGCAGTACTCGTTTGTGAGTTACACTCGGGGCGCGTCCAACGTTGAAGAAATGATTCGAGGGCAGATATTCGACGTTGGCCCAAGGTACACGAGTCTTTCTTACATAGGAGAAGGAGCCTACGGAATGGTCGTGTGAGTATAACGGACCTTAGCGTTTGTCTAATTAACGTATTGTCATCGTCATCGTTGTAGTCGGTGCGGGCCAAACGTCTGCCGCGACAAAGTGTCGAAACAAACGAGCGCTCTTGGTTGCTCCGTCGCCCGGGACGACGACGTAGTAACACGCATATGTCTTCGGCAGTATTTTTCTCGTTTCGTAACAAACCGACGTACACTTCATTTTCAGTAGTTTCGGACGACGACGAGAGTATCGCTAACAAAGCGTATAAATTCTTTCCGTCGTCGATAGTCTATGTATCTGAGCATTTTGCAGCTTCAGTATTTTTGCGTTTTCGATTCTTGTCCTTTAGATTGGAATATTGCGAATTTTACGTAGACAAACTAAACTATGTAGTGATGATAAATCGTTCAAACTCTCGCGTTCGACATTTCGAAAAACGTTATGATCTGTAATGAACTATATAATTACCTAGATACAGTTTGGTTGTACGTAAAAATCAAGATGTCGCAAAATTGATGAAAAAAATGTGTGTATCCAGCCAAAAATAATTTCCACGTTAAAATTTACTTCTTTTATGCAAACCGTTTTAAAATAAATCTTAAAAACTATTACGAAAATATTGCAAAAAAAATTTGCTGTGTAGGAACGCTAACGTTATTCTATTAAGACTAATTTATAACTTATATGTCTTGTGTTTGTCAAAATAATTAATTAAATTATATTTTGAGGTTTTTTAAAAGAAATGGCAATTTTTTTTGTGTTCTTAGAAGATATTTTATTGAAGGAATCTTTGCATGTATTTTAATTACTAATCTATTCAATTAAAGCTAATAAAAACACTTTTGAGTAATATTTTTAGTACAAATATTTTTACATAAATAAGTCAAATTATAATTTCGCTCTATCTGTTGTAATACTTATAAAATATAGATTTATCTCTGCCAAATATTTATTACGATGATAATGATTTTAATATTCTTTCACTAATAATTATTAAACTAAAAATAAAAATAAATAAAAACAGAAAACATTATACTATCTGGAGAGGTACAATTTAATTAAAGTTCAAATGTTACATACGATAATATAATGTGTTATTTTGTTTATGACTGACATTAAATTTTATGCATTTAACAGAAGACCATTACGGTCTTTTTATTAAGAGATTTGATTTACGCCCAACATTTTGTAGAATTAAAAACTAAAACTTAAGTAATTAGTATATTATGTTATTAGTAATAATGACAAACTGTCAGACTTGTGTCATAGCGTCTTTTTTTTTATAAATCTTTTTTGTTTTATTTACTATCTTTCTTCATTTAGTTTATATTTCATTATCATTTATAAGCGCTTCTGTTTAGCGCTTGTGGTTTAGTGAAAATTAAAAACCGATATTGTGCCTATAAGATTTTTTTTTTAAAGTTATTATGATCGTAGAATAGGATAATTTGAAAAATGTATCAAAGAGGAAGCTATTACAGATATCGTTAAAAACCCTTTGCGTACAATATAACTTTATTATCTTAAACATTTAAAAACTTCTCGACTATGAGAATCAAAAAATAGTCCTGATAATAAAATCGCTAGTTTTACACTTCAAATGATGAGGTTAAATTCATAAATGCATAATTTAAATAACAATTAAGTACCTATTAGAAGTATTTAATAATTATTTTAAAAAAGAAATATGGTAGGTAATAGAATTAATTTATCAAACAATAAATTAATGTACTATTGATTACTAATAATTTAATAGGAACATAACTTTAACTGGTTTGTTTTTATCTACTATTTATTTCAAAAAATTGATTTGCAACGACCATTAACCCTATTCTTATTTAGGTAGTACAAAGACACCATTTAAAATTTTATTATTGCCTTACTCGTTTAAAATTGTACATTTAAGAACGAGGTAGTGTTATAAATTATTTAGGCTAGACATTTTTTGTCATTTTATAGAAGAAGAATAAAAATATTAAAACATTTTTTTTCAGTACGGAATTAATATAATTAACATTGTAAATAATGTGATTGCAGGTCGGCTTATGATAACGAAACTAAATGTAAAGTAGCTATAAAAAAAATATCGCCATTCGAACATCAGACTTATTGCCAGCGGACATTACGTGAAATAAAAATATTAACTAGATTCAAACACGAAAACGTAAGAAAAAAATATGATTATAAATAAAATGTTTAAAGAAAAAAAAAAAATATATATATATATTTATTGACTAACTATTGTATATAATAATTAATTGTTGTTTATAGATAATCGATATAAGAAATATATTGCGAGCTGAAACAATTGAACAAATGAAAGACGTGTACATTGTTCAATGCTTGATGGAGACTGACTTGTATAAGTTGTTAAAAACTCAGGTTCGTCTCGTCGAAAGTCCATTATTACTTGGATTGTACATTTTATTATTTGACGACTGTTAGATTAGATTAATTTCAATATTCTTCAAAAAATTAATATCCTTCATTCTTAATGCTACATTTTCAGAGACTGAGTAACGATCACATTTGTTATTTCCTTTACCAAATACTACGAGGGCTGAAGTATATACACTCGGCAAACGTTTTACATCGCGATCTCAAACCTAGTAATTTGCTTCTCAACACTACGTGTGATCTCAAAGTACGTAAACCATAATGCGTTTAAATAATAATAGATATTGTTACTAAATTATCCTGTATTATGACTAAATTGTTTTATTTAAAGAGCTTGAAACCGACCTATATTATTTGAACATTAAAAAAAAAATAATTTTATTAGATTTGTACGGACAATTTTTTGTGATAAAGTAATAACGATAAACGTTAATAAAAAAATAAACATCATAGATCCTTTCTCTAATTATTGTTTCGATTTACAATACCGTTGAATATATATTTTTTTATCATTTTCGATTGTGTAAAGATGTAAACGGTTTCGAGCGCTGCAATTTGAATTAATAATTTTTTTTCCAGTGATAAATAATCAAAATTTTTAAATTCCTAGATTTGTGATTTCGGTTTGGCAAGAGTTGCAGATCCCGATCACGATCATACAGGATTTCTTACTGAATATGTCGCCACAAGATGGTACCGTGCCCCAGAAATAATGTTGAACTCTAAAGTGTGTATTTACTATTTTTTTTTTACGTGACTCTACGAACGTTGTAGTTTGAATATGTTAATTTAACGTATTTTCGTTGTCCAATTAAAAAGGGATACACAAAATCCATTGACATGTGGTCAGTCGGCTGTATCTTGGCCGAAATGTTGTCCAACAGACCCATATTTCCCGGCAAGCATTATTTGGATCAGCTGAACCACATATTAGGAATACTCGGTTCTCCGACGGCCGTGGATTTATTGTGCATTATAAACGATAAAGTATGACACACATTTGCCGAAAAACAATTTTGAAATCGCTCACTTAATTAATAATTCTTTCCGCCGAAAAACAGGCTCGCAGTTACTTACAGTCGTTGCCGTTCAAACCGAAAATAGCGTTTTCCCAACTTTATCCGACGGCCGATCCCAAAGCTTTGGACCTGTTGGACAAGATGTTGACCTTCAATCCGCACAACAGAATCACCGTAGAAGAAGCGTTAGCGCATCCGTATCTCGAACAGTATTACGATCCTGCCGATGAGGTAACGTTTTTTTTAAAAACGGCCATTTTCAATAATTTTGTAAATTTTCATATAAAAAGATTATTTTTTTTTTCGCCATAAAAACTAAACGTACTGTGTTTGATTTGATTTTTTTTTTTAGCCAGTCGCAGAGGAACCTTTTAGATTTGTCACCGAACTGGACGACCTACCCAGAGAGACGCTAAAACAGATGATATTCGCCGAAACTGTTAACTTCAAACAAAACTTGTAAGACCGGTTTTGGGTATTACGCATTTACGATTCCTTACTATGCTTTAAAACTTACTTTACAAAACTGCAAGCTATATATACAATTGTGTAATTTGATAATTTATAAATCCATTTTCTTGCTTGTCTATATAGTTCTTCATATTTATATTATATTATAATACATTATTATTATTATAATTAAAAAATATTATCCATCTTAGTATTAAGACGTACGACTTGTAGTTAAATTCTATGTATTATTATTATTATTATTATTAGTTATTGCCGATGAAATATGTGATTTTATTGTTCCATTTGGAGACCGATTTGTCAATCTATCTGAACGTTGACAATATACGTCTGTTCTTATAATAATAATAATAATAATAATAATAATAATAGTATATTATTTCTTTTCGTGTGACAATATATATTATATTCGAGTTACGCAGATTTAAATGTTATTAACGTGATCGTTTAAAATAAATCGCCGTACGTACGACCTTAAAAATTCGATTAGTCAGGTGTTGTGTTAGACGCTACTAGAAAATAGTGTTAATTTTTTTTTTCCGCATCCGGCCATTTCTACGTCTCTTTCTATTATCTGTGATAACATCCATCGTACTTATTCGGATTTTTTTTTTTTATTTAATAGTTTATATAGATATGTTTAGAGAAATGTAACCGATTCAGACATCACAGGATACGTTTTTTTATTTAATTGCGTATGAATAAAAAAAAAAAAGAATACATTAAAAAAAAAAACAATTGGTAAAAATAAATATGTTTTTTTTTAATTGTATTTCGAGTACTTTGTTCAAAATATAAATAATATACACTTATAAGAAATAATTTTCCTTAATTAAAATTGTACGTCGTGTAAGGCGTTTATAATATCTTATAATTTTTTTTAATAATTCGATTGAGTGATAACTGATTGCGTTCCTTTGAAATCCATTTATACATACATTTCGTCGACATAATATTATTATATTATATAGAAATAACATACTTGTAAATATTTATTAATATAATATATTATATATATATATATATATTTTTTTTTTTCGTTTTGTTTATAATTACAACGTTGTGCTAAAAGTATATATATAAGAGAATTTTTAAATATATAAACCAAGTATATAGTATTTATGACGTACCGTAATATTTAATAATTATTTATAATATACTTTAATTGACTTTTAATACTTTTTGCTCATATTGTAAACCATATTTGATATATATATATATATATTTTAATGTGCGTAATTTTTTTATTTTACATTACATATTTCCATATATTGTCTATATTCGATATTTTAAATTTAAATTTTAAATATTATATTATAAATATATGTATCATAATGTAAACCCAATATGTTTATTACACTTTTTGAGATAATATTATATATTTTCTCCTCTTATTTAATCGCTTACCGTAATAATTTTAAAAGTCGTGTCTATAAGTTTTCGTAGAGTTCATTTAAATGTATTGCCCTTTTACAATACAAGAAGTAACAACAGGTGTTACACTTTATATATTATTATGATTTTAAAATAGAAATATTTTTATATTTCAAAAAGTTTAATAATTAAACCGTAGTGTAGTTGTTTTGAAACGTGTATTTGCAACGGTAAATTGCGTACAATATTATTCGTATAAACGATCTTCCATTTGCACATGTTCCGTATGTCTTATTTGAATTAGCGTTTTTTTACATTTTGTGTCGATTATTAAAAAAGTACCCGTTTCTAATATAATCCGATATGTCGGTCGCACGTTGTTAAGAGAGTACAAATAAACAAACGAGTTAAGTGTTAAGAGTAGTTAAGATTAACGAGAAATATATCGGTATATATTGTATAATATTCATCGTAATGTTTGAAATTATGAAAGTACGCATTTTGAATTGAAATTTTATTTTTAATATATTATGTCATACGTGTAATGTGTGTTCGATAACGAATCATTTGAATCGAATACTTTATAAAATTGTAAATCTTGTTATATTTTGTGTATTTAATTAGTCTTAAAAAAAATATATATATACATAGTTTGTAGCAATAAAAAAAAAAAATCTCTTAAGTGTCAAAACCTAAACCGTTGTTAATCTATGAAATAGTGTGAAAAAAAAAATATGAGACGGTACTGTAATTGTATAAATTAAAAAAATGTAAAAAAACAAAAAAAATTGAATCTAATATTTTAATTCGTTTGTTGAATTTGACTACTTAGTTTAAAACATTAAATTCAGCGTTACAAATCTAACTGATAATTAAATACTTCACATATTGCCTTTTACAAACTTTATTCGTTCATTTAAAAATGTCTTTAAAGTAATTTTACTTCATAGCAATAAAAGTAGTGAAAGTATAACTTAGATTTTTCTCATCGTCTTGCATATTAAATAGCGTTTTAATTACAAGTAATTCTTCAGCGTTAAACATTTTCAACGATGATTACAATTAAATTTTAACTCCTCATTTGTACACCTTGGATAATTTTTTTTTTTTATAAATTCACCGCAAGATAAATTAATAGTTTTACGACTACTGCGTGTGCCCATTTTACTTTCGATAAATTATTATATTTTTATTAAATCGATGATATTGTTAAAAAACATTTATTGTAATATTATTATTTTTTAATTATATAAAACACATTTTGCCAATGTTATATAAATAATCATCATTATTCCATTAATTTTTATGTCTTGTTCGCTTTTCAATCTTTGTTGTTGTTGTGTAAAACTTAAGTTGTTGAGTAAAAAAGCATTGAAAAAAAAAAAAAAAAAAATTCAAGTTTAAAATATATTTTCAATCGACAACGTGTTGGCGTTTTTTTATTTTATTATGCGTAAGAAAAATGATGTGTTGTCAATACTATTATTATATTTGAGTAAACGTCAATGGTAAAAAAAGCCGACAAGTCGTTCAATTTGTAAATCAAAACTTTTACTTGGCTTCGGTTGAATTTTGGTATAAGTTCGACGGATATTATTTATTTTTAAATTGAGTAAAACAGATCTAAATCATTTATTGTGAAATGTTTACCCGGTTATAATTAAGGTGGAAATATAACGTACTTTATTTTATTAGTTTGACCGATTAGGGAATTAACATACAAATATACAATTGAAATCGGAGAGAATAAATTTAAGAACAGACCTAATAAAAGATAATGTTTATTTTTCTAGCTAACCCAACGCTGGTCGAACGAGTTAAGTAAACAATCAATTGACGTAAACAAATTGAGGTGTTTTTCTCTCTCGTACAATTGATTTTTATTTTTTATTATATAACTCGACAAATAAACTTTTACAAACACGTGGATTTTAACAAATAAAAATAATAAAATAAATAAATTAAAAAGTTAGTTTAGATTTTCGAAAAAGTCGTATACCTTAAAGACCAATTCCGCTTTACTGCCAACGATCGGCAATCCGTTGGTTTTCAAAAACTCTTTCAGTTCGTTGACGACCAACTTGTCCACCAATCCTTTTTTGACGAGATCTTTCATCGTGTCCATTTTGGGGTTTGACCGAAACCTTTTGATCGTTTCCACGTGATCCGAATTGGAAGCCGGACGTTTCGACGCGCTAACAGAAGCGGCTGTCGACGGTTTGTATCCGACCGGAATGAGTTGACCGTAAATGTTATTTTTCAAACCACTCAAGTTTCGTTCAATGGCTTCGAAATCGGGTAGCGTTTCGTCTTTGACTTGTTTTGGTTGTTCACAGTCTAGGGCCAAGGCCTCCAACATTGCCCAGTGAGTGTCTATTTTGGGATTGGGTATCGTTGTAGGATTTTTGTCGAAAGACAATCTGTCCAATATGTCGGCGGCCAACTGAATCTGACTGTCGTTCGGCTCGACACGATCGTACGATTGGGTTTTGACGTCTCTGAGAGCGTCGGCAAACGGCAGATACATAACATGAAAGCCGGCCGGCTGATCATTAGTTTCCGCTTGAGGGATTAATGCTGCTAGATTTATTTTTCCGCCTCGTCGCACTTTTAGATAACACATAACCACTTTGTTCATTTCCAAACACGTGTCGCAAAGACTGTTGAATATTACCGAACTTCCTTCGACGTCGTGTTCGTTGGGTTGAATAAAACTGTACGTCCTGAAATGATAGTAAATGTACAAATCGTCGGGACTTCTGAAGCCGAGCAATCTTATTCCGGGATCCATTAGGTTGTCGTTGAGAATCGCAAGGTCTTCGTTCCGGAATATTATTTCAGCGTTTGATATTTTGCAATATTTGGCCAAATCAGATCTGTACATCACCTCATCGGTGTCGGTGTGCATTACTTGTCTATACGAATAGACCTGTTCGTTAGAACTTCTGTCCAATTTCACTTTTGGTTGCAGTTTGAATTCTGAAAAAAAATTATACAAAGAAACCGAAAAAAATGTAGTATCGTCCAAATACAATCGTAAGGCGTTTACGCTTCTTTTCTTTGGGCTGTATGTATCAATTTCAGAAACAATATCGTCGACATTGTCCAGCCCATTCGATGGTTTCACGATGTGTTCAAAATTATCAAGTAAGTCGTTATAAAATATTCCCATATTGAATTCGGCTCCGAGAGGAATAAATTTAAATGCAAATTCATTAGCGACGACATCTTCTAACCGTTTTCTTAAAATGAATAACTTTTTGCCGTCGCCAACAAGCGGCTGATCACAGCAAGACATAAATACCAAACTCGAATGACTTTGTTTTTCCCGATATTTCGTCAACAAGAAATTACCATACCAAACGGCATCGACTATTGGATTGGTTGGCGATAAGCCAAATTTGGTTTCGTCCACGGTTACTAGTTGGTCTAGCATTTTTATAAATTCGACGTTGGGTTTTTTGATTTCCCACACGACGTTTAAATATTTTGGACACGTTTTGTTATCGTTATTTGTTCCGAACAACAGTAAACCAATTTTGTCGTTTTTACACCTTTTAATAATATTTATCGCCGCGGCTTTGCAACTCTCGACGCACAAAGAAAAATAAGTTTGAGAGTTATGGGATTGCTGAAACATGGGTTTTGAAGCGTCAATCAAAAACAATACATGATCCTTTACAGTCCATTTTTGGTTTTCTTTTGCGTCTTCTTCGAAGTTATTGTCATCCCATTCGGCTGGCGAATCTGTTAATTGATCCATGTTTTTAATTTGTACACTAGTAGTATCTGGAAATAAACATAAAAATCAACAATTATTTAGGTACGACATGTAAATGTGTTGTTTAGTTAACACGGATTTTAACAACGCATTACGCTTTAGCGACATTAAACATTTTTTTCTTTCTCTTACCAATTCCTTATGATGTGAATCGCTTTTGAAATCGTCCGCCTTTACACTGGTAAATAAAAATGACAGAATTACAGATTAATATACTATAATGAATATAAAAAAATGTGATTTCCACTAGACTAATACAAAATAGCTTTTTATTGTTATACCTACTTTTCTATTGTTACTTGTGTTTGATATATTTTGTAAATTGCCAATTGGTTCTTATCTATATTTTGGAATTCTCGCGGTATTTTTTGCTGATAACAAACACTGATAACTGATAAGCGATTACTAATTGATAAGAAATATGGCGTTAGCGCCTAGCGGATCAATTTATCAGAGTAGTCTGTCGTACCCATACAAATATTATATATTATTATAAATTAATAATTATAATACACAAGTATCGAGTGAAGAAAACACTTAAGACACGTCTTGAGCATAATAGCGAATGGGTATGGAGCATATTGATGGGGGGGGGGAGGAGGAGATTACAGGTCTTTGGGAATTATGCTGTTTGAAAATAATCTTTATTTATGTTATCGAAAAAAGTATTTTGAAAACTGTTAAATTAAAGTTCTAGCTTGAAAAAGTTTTTACCTTTTTAATATCTATATAAACGCCACATGAAAGTTTTTTGTTAAACTTTTACATTTTTTCTCTAAAATATAAGGTATAGGTACGACAAAATTAAATTATTAAGCTGTTAAATACTTGGTTGCTTTTCCATAAAATTGATTTGTGTTAAAACAAATTAAACTGTCAATAATACTAAGAAATTATATTGATTATACTTGTATTATAAAGATGGTGTATTGATATTATACTATCATCGATATAATTTAGTAAAATAAAAATTTTCAAACTATCTTAAAACATTTTTATGTTAAATGCATATTATTGTAAAATTATTATCAAGTATTTTATTATGTATATTAACGATTACATTTCCTACTAGTAAAAGCATAATACTTTTTTTTCATTAAACCCTATTCGTGCAAATTGCTTATAAGAACTAATAAATAAAAAGTGTTTATAAATCCAGTTAAAATAAAAGTTATGAACAAACATTTTGGTTTCACTAAATGCGTTTGTGCAAGTGTATTCACACGAATGGTCGACTACCAAAGTCATACAAAATGAATTTGTAATAAGGAAAACACTTATACAGCCTATGTAAATTGTATAATTATATAACATTTATATAACACATCAAGCATATCCTGCTGTGATGTTTCCAAATAAAGTGCTCAATGTGGCTCTCTCAATTTTGATCAGTCCCTGTTCGGCCCATCGTTCACCCCAAGAATTGACCACCAGCCAGTAACATAGACTTCCTTTGTAACCCCAGCCAATTATTTTCATCGAAACCCGCCTGACAAACTCGTCGGACATTTTACGATAGACCCCTAAAAACGAATCGATAGTGTTAATATATTGTAAAATAAGAATCGTTGTTTTTTTAACCGTTAAGTATTTTTTTTTTAATATTGAATCGAAATTTGACCCACCAGCAACATGACGAAACAAGTCTTTGTAGCCATCGAATATAACTGCCACCGGACCGTTGTAATAAATCTCGTTCATAATGTCGCTTTCGTTTTTGGCCGGAATTGTCTTGTAACTTCTACGGGCTAAAAATCAAAGACAATCAATTCTGTACGTTGAAAAGGAAAATATGGCCAATGTGTGGTTATGTCAATGTAGAACTCACTCCTGTACAAATCAGCTTCATAACTCCTTTTGTAAGTGCGATTTGTGCAGTTTCTACGGCACGTTGGCGTGTCTGCTATGGGTTTATCACAGTTTGGATAACCGTAAATTCCACAAGGTGCTATTTCATAAGGTTGACACACCTAAATAAATTATAAATAATAATATTTGTACATACAGGGTGTTCTAGCGTAAAAAGGTAAGTAATAGGTGATTGGAAATCTGAGGAACCCTCAAATTAAGCCCCCCGTTTTCATATTTTCTACAAGTTAAAAATTGAAGGTTTCGACAAATAGTAAAAAAATAATGACTTAAAATATGTATATGTATTCCCTGTTATTCAGTGCGAAAATCTCACCTTAAAGAGGGGTCACATTTCATTTTCAGTTCCTTTCGGCCCCTAACTCAAAAAATGATAAGAGAAAAATGATTAGAGACAAGAAATAAATGATAAGTGATAAGAGATAAGAGATCAATTATTAGAAACTAGAGCATAGAGTAAATAATATAAGGAGAAGCCATTGCCAATACTAGCATTTACTTTGATATGAATCAACTATAATTTAATGGCGGCCATCCTGCAACCTAGTTGAAAACAATTAACTAGACGGCAGCATAGTATAGCATGATAAGAATAATTTAATATGTGATATTATTTACTGACTAGGTACGACCATATTAAACCGTAACAAATTAAACCATTAAAATCTGTATACAATAGTAAATTATTAGTAATATGGTAACACTGTATGTCAACCTATAGCACTTCAAATATATTATCATATGGTCACCACCAGGACTAGAGTTAAGAAATAAATGATAAGATGAGTGATAAGAGAAGAGTTAGGGGCCGAAAGGGACTGAAAATGATGTGACCCCTCTTTTAAGGTGAGCTTTTTGCACTGAATAATAAGGAATATATATTTTTTGTTTTTAAGTCATTAGTTTTTTACTTATCGACAAAATCAAAACGGGGAGCTTATTTGGGGGCCCCCCAGATGTCCTATTACTTATTACATACCTTATTATATCCGTAGTCACGTCCAGTTACGGCTCCGTTGTTCTCGAGAAAATCCCAAGCGTCTTCGGGTTCTCCTTCGATGCATCCGTCACTTCTAGCGCAAGTGAGAATGTGTTCAAAAGATATGTTGACTGCCGTATTACCCTTACTGCTAATCCACAGTCTATCGCTGAAAACGCCAGCAACAGCAATAGCCTGCGGAGTAAAACATATTATTTTGCAGCTATTAGAATGAAATAAACTTGTTTTAAAAGAACAATTCAATTTTGTATATGAATTAAAAAACATTACATAAAAAAAAAACAACACTCAACGGCAGTGGAAAAACGACTATTGGTATAAATAATGTTGTACACTGGCCCTGGTCACTGCTAGACCAGTGTTACCAACGCTTACATTGCTAACGCCTAACACAGCTAAGAAAGTATTACTGTGAAAACTGAAGACAGCGTGTACCCCTATGATACATCAAGTGTTTTGCCTACGGGGGTTTCTTTGAATTTTTTAAAAAATGTCCTTGTTGGATATTATATAAATGTGTTTCTATACGTTTAATATTCGCGTTAATTTATTACTATCGTATAGGTACGATTTCTGTAATTTTAATTAAAAAAAATAACACAAAACGCATTTACTTTTGTGTTACCCACTGTTACTTTTATAACTAGATAATAAATTTAATAACGTATAATGTCTATTGTCTAAGACTAGCAAACACTGAACTCAATATATGGAACGCGTATTGCCTATAGTCGGTTGCTTATGAAAATGTACCCTGGTAGGAGGCTGCCTGTTTAGTTTAATCAAATTTAATGTAATACTTAATATTTTTGCTTAAACCTTAAAATGCTTATTTATGTTAGTTACAATAATAATTTAATCTGTTACCTAATAAGGAATACAATTTAGTGCTATCGTTCATTGTAATGTCATACGAATAAATAAAGGAGGCTGCCATTTTGTTTACCGTTATTGTTTTTTCCATGATATTTATTGTTTTCTCTATGATTTATCATATAAATATATATGACGGTGTTATCATCACTTAACCTAACATTTCAGTACATATCATGGAAAAGTGACGTAGCATTTTTACTTTTTTATGAAATTGGTACACAAAATGGCAGCCTCCCAGGTGGGGACATTTTTCCATCTAAATACTCGTTCCATATATTGAGTTCAGTGCTAGTAGGTATAGCTCAGAAATCATAATCAAAATTAACTATTGAAATTAATTTCTAATGGTATTGAAATTGCACTGTACAACGTAATGCGGCATGAAAACTAAATAAAATCAAAACCTCCATTTTGGAATTCGACTTTTGGTTATTTTCAAACTTACCCAATCAGAATTGCAATTGGACTGAAATCGAACGGCGCCTATTGAATGACATCTCGGCCATCTTGTGCGTGCATCAAAGTTTTTGGGTAGAAATTCTTTGTTTTGAGGTTCTAAATCATTAATTTTTGCGCCGGAATTTTCTCCAGACGCACTAAGTCCACTGAATAATCCTTCATCCTGAAATTTATTATTTTCTTTGACATAAATTCTTGATATAAAATACTGAAATTAATACTTTCAAATACCATACTGTACAAATTACCTCATAAGAATTATTGTATTCTTCTAAATCAACAGCTGGATTTTGAATAATTAACGATCCGGAAAAATTTAGACACAATAACAAACAAAATCCTATGACTATTTTAGTACTCATCGTGGCGTGAAAATGAACTGTTTCTTAAGTATAATATGCAATTATTTAGTTGCAAACGTAATTTTGAATGTGAGATGGTTCACAATAAAGTGCTATTTAAGCAGCACACTTATACAGTTTTATACCGTAGTATTTAAAGTACCGTGTACTAGATGAACGATTTATCTGTGAAGATGGTTAATCTAATGTTTTATCGTTTTTATTTAATTACACATAGGTATATTTATTTTTCTCTAGTGTGCCTACAAGTACCAGCTCTCGATATTGTAACAAAAAAGTCGGATATGTGTCATCCAAACATTTTTAGAAACAACTTAAAAATTATTTTATCCATATACTTATATCAGGTAGATGATAGTCATTGATTATTTATAATTATTAACAAACCTTATCGTTGCCACTTAAATTGGTAATTCAAAATTCGTAAGGTGACTCAAAACAATAGTAATTCATAAGTACTGTGACGTGGTGATGTTTTTTTTTTTTTTACCTGACAAAAGTACTTTTGTATTTGACAATAAATATTCACCCTTGTATCGAATCTCGGTTGATACAACGGAGAAAAGTTTCTTTAAGTCACCTGGCAATAGTTGAGAGTTAGACAAATGGCATAGTTTTCTCAAGTAAATAGTAGAATATTTAGGTTAAAGTGTTAAATTTCTGTCTATATTCTATTAATAACATGTACCATGGAATAAACAATTAATATCGAATATAGCCTTATAGTGTTATTATGATTAATTTTTTATTTTTAATTCAGATGTTCCCAATATAAGGGATATGTATTGGTAATTTTATTTCATTATTGTTTACATCTGCTTATGGCAAACTATATTTCTATATAATTAATTATTATTATAGGTACAGGTAATTGTATGTATTACCTGTGTTTCGAGTTTCGACAACCTAAATAATGTATTTAAAATTATTATTATTCAAATCTTTTAAATAAAAACTAAAAAATGTATTTATTTTATGAGTTATTATCTAAATAAAATTTTTTTTTCCAATTTTTATTTTAGTTGGTCGCGGTGTATATTGTTTGTATATTATATTGTTATAAGTTAAACTTTTTAAACACCTATTAAGACCATCTATTTTTTTTATTATTCTTCCTAACGGCTAATTTTATTTAAAATCTTATTCAAACGGATCTTAATCAAACGCGGATAACTAACAATGATTTTGTTGATTTTATGTTGTGATGATTTATCCTTTCAAACATAATAAACTATGTGTTAGTTGTGTCGATTTTTATGGTAATAATTTTGTAATAATTTGCATAGCTTAGAGTTTTTAAAATGCACATTTCCACTTTGCTACAATTCTACGAGATACATAATATTTTATTTTTCACTTCAGTCATCACATTAAATTAATTCATTAGCGGAAAAAACAAAATTAATTTATTTATATGATTATTTGAAAATTAAACAGACCACTCAATCTGAGTGAAAACGAGCTTTGCTACTTGACTTTATTTTATGTTTTCCAAATAGACAATTAGCATGGAATTTAATAAGAACATAGCCTTTATCTAATAACGTTTTTAAGACATAGGTACAACTCTGTTTGCATTGTTTTATTATTTTTTAATAAAAACTAAACAGGTACAACCATTAGAGTTACTAACAAAGGACTTTTTCTCCTCGTGTTCTAACATTTTGCCTAACCTAATGTCACACAATAAAATGAAAATTATTGAGTGATTCTAAAGCCAATTTTAATTGACAAGTGAATACCATATGATTTCAGAGTAACAGCACGTTGAAATAATCAAATGTGATCACAAAAATGTACCATGCTACATTATCATTGGACGGAGAGGGTTCAAAGTCAATAATATAGTTTAATTTTAGTTTACCTTGAAAGTTATTGTAATTCAGAACACATAATTTTCTATTTTTTTTTTTCAAGTAAATTACATCAGTACTCGTTGGAGGCGTTGATTTATTACCTGGTTTTTATTTGAGTTTTGTAATTAATTTTCGGTACATATAGCTAGACTATATTAATAATAATAGTTTATTTCAATGACTCTATTGAACGGTGAACGATATTTATTCAATTTAACTGCTTTACCGTACGATTTATAGTTCTTCTGGCCTCCATTCTGCAAATAAAAAAACCGAGGGGGCCTAGCAAACTGTTTGCAAATATACTACATTAATTGTGTTGATATATTTCCAAAACGTACCTATTATTTTTGAATCATTATTGTTTTTTCTTCTTCTGTATGCTCAGGTGAAAGTTTTTTTATATGGGATCGACGTGGGTATTTTACTGGATAATTTCATTCGTTAAGTTCAATCACAATTCTACATTCAACGTTTAACCTTTACCGCGGTGTTATTAGCATCATTATGGCAAAAATAAATTATTACTTTATTTTGTTATCTATCTGTGTTGCATGTACATTTGAAATTGGTATGTATAAATGTTAAACCAAAATGTATAGATTAAAAAATATATATATATATACATACTCAATCTATGATTAATCTTACCAACTATAATATTTTTGCAATACTCAATTGTTTTCTGTTTTTAGATACATCTATACTCAAAAAGGATTACATAATTATATATCAACAGGATTTTGGTAATTATAATTGTGTTTACTTTAGATGTACTCTTATATAGTATATTAAGTTAGATACTGTAAGTATTATAGATTGAAATTAGATAAAGAAGACCCCCCCCCCGCCTACTTACAAAACAAATTGAACATTTTAAGCCTTCACTGCAACTAGAAAAACATAATAATTGTTCACTTTAAAATAAGTTGACATATTCAAAATGATTAACTGCCCTTTAATAAGTTGACGGTCAATTTTATAACTTTCTGTTAAAAAATATACTGTCCTTTTTTTACCTCTTACAAAATAGTTGTGCACGTAAGGCCTTCATAATGTTGTGAAAGTGTTATTGAAATAATAGTAAAATGTGTTATTAAAATATTGAAGTACATTAATTAGAACTACATGAACAAAATGTATAAAAAAAATTTAATCCTAGAACAAAAAACCGTTTTAAAAATATTTTTGAAATTAAAAAAATATTCTTAAAAAACATTTCCATTTATTTGCTGTTTGCATATTTAGGTAAACAAATAAAGCAGCAAAGAGAATGTCGGAGTTGTTCACTCACACATTTATGTAATTTTATAATAATGACTTGTTTTTCAATTTAGCTTGTATTATTATGTTTTACAATTCTGTTTTATTTTTAACTGTCTGGTTCTTGACACTAGATCTCAGAACATATATACTTTAAAAACTGAATAAAAGTTAAAATATAGTTACTACATTCTGATTAACCTAAAATTGAGATTGGTGATAATACTTATAGAGTATTATTTATGGAGCACAAAACTTTTCATAGAATTTTTTACTAAGGTTGTATTTTTTTTTTTTTTTTTTTGAAAATGAATTAGTATTTTATTCTGTTGGTAATCGCATAAATAATTTATTTGTCAAAAGTATAATAATTGTTTTTTTTTATTCCAGAGACGGGCGTTTGCAAGTTTGTAAAAGAAGGTAAAAGGTATAATTATATTGGCTGTCGGATAAAATTGTAATTATATTTTCATTTGCAGATGGTAAAAATCCGTTAGATGAAAAATTAGGTAATATATAATTGTTTAATGTAGATTTAAATATTATTCAACAAGAACACTGAGTATAGCAGTTTATTTACAAAACTAATTGTGTTTTGTGTGCAAAAAATTATTTTATTTAAACGACAAAAAACTAGTAATTTTCTTTTAAAGGTTAGATTTGCATTCTATGTATATTATCATTAGTCGTATGACTGGTCCTTTCGCAAAAAATACTATTTACAGTAATACAAATATCTGATTCACTATTTTTAAGTAAAAACCCAATCGAGTACATATTGTATATAATATATACTCGATGATAATACAAATAATATGTAAACTATTTAATAAAAAAAAACTTTTCTGCTTTACAGATTTGGCGTTCTATTTAAAACCACAGTGAGTATTGTTATTCATAGTAACGCTTTTGCTGGGAAAAAACATTTTCAACTTGTTTTATTTTTTACAAGTTCAAAATTAATTAACCGATCATACTACCAATAATTTGAATCAACCTTTGTGGGGGGTTGTATAATGAATAAACTAAATTTTAGCTAGGTAACTTTTTCAATCGCTATTTTTTTTTTTAGTATTTTTCACGGTAAGGGGTAAATTGTTGACATTCTAAAATACCTTTGGTCGTCGATTATTGTTTTGTAGATTGGCTATGTATTGATTAACTATACAATTGATACAGACTCGAAAAAGAGAAATTGAGTTTTTAGCTTTTTTGCTCTCTGGCTTGGATTTTTTTTATGATGACTTTTTCTATTTTAAACATATTTTAATACATTACACGTGTAATTAATTACACAATTGATGGGCAATTGTTGAACGTTTATTTTAATTACCTGTTGGTTTCAGGGAACCTTGCTACGTTTATATATCCAATAACATTACGAAAATGGGAATAACCGGCGAAAATGTATACAACTACAAATACACTTTTGAGGCAGCTGAACTGATATTTGGAACATTATTTCGCCAAGGAGGAATTCCTCCATCCAAATAATGTATACATTAATTGTATTTCATCGATTTCGAGATCATTATGATTATATTTTTATGTTACTATATTCATGTTTTTTGTTTTTTGTTTTTAAAAACTAAGATGTATCCAGTTCTCAAAACTTTTTCTGAAAAGTAGGAATAAAACCAGCAATAATAGTACAATCATAATTATTGTAGTAATAATAATATATATTATTTGAATTTTCAATTCGAAATAGAACGTATTATTATTTCGACAATATTGCGATTATAATTGTATGATTTCTAATAAAATAAAATTATGTAATGGTATCCGTTATTATCAAATAAATCAACTGTCGGTAATTGGCCTTGAGAGTTCTTTATTATCTTTGCAACCTAAATCATAAACGCTCGTCCTACTATTGGTCCTTCTAATTTTATTTATAAGGCTTTTTTTAACATAATTTTCATCATATACGTTTTGCGTTATTGAAAAAAAAAAAAATGGCGGCTGAGATTTAAAATGTGTTAAGTAAGTATTTTTATGGGACAGCTGAAATGGTAGAAATTTTAATATAATTTTATTGGGTGCTGATAGATGAAAAAAATTCAATATTACTACTTATTTGAGCCCGTTTAAGATCCAAAATAAATCTCATACCATGATGTTGTACCTAAGGAACATAAAAATTAAAATAATAATAGTTTGCACGAATTAAAAGGTCATAAAACAAACCAAGTACAAAACTACAAAACTAATTTTGGATGGATTTTTGCACAAATATCTATAAATACGTTTGATTATATATCAACTTGATTTTTCTCTCATATTTAGTGTAGAAAAATTACTATTAGTATGATATATTATTTATTTTTGATTCGTTGTATGTTGTTGAATTAAAACAGTTGATAAAATAGATAATAGATAAAAAGTTTTTTTAAATAGATCTTATGATCTCTGTGGTCACTCATAGTTACTCTTACCAACTGCACACGCCTAAAATAAATATATTATTTTGTCAACTGCGTGTGTACCAAAGAAACACAACTCAAGCACATAAATAACATTATTTTTTAGCTTGAATGACCTCGATGAAGCTTTAAAATGTGATAGTTTTAAAACTAGCGATTGTAAACCAAAACCTTAGTATTGTTATCATTATCGGACTTGCACACTTGATGCAACAAGACGCAGCAATAATACCTGTACACAAATAATATTGTTTCTAAAAATACATATAAAGACTCAGTTGTATGTATATTTTAACGACTGCAGTTAAAACTCAGTACATTGGCATGAATGGGAACTGTAAATTTTGCAGCCAATTTTGAGTCTGCAACCACAAAAGAGCATTTTCACGTGTCGTTGAAGTACCGAATAAATTTAGAGCAGTGGTGGAATTGTAGAAAATGAAATAGTATATTAACATCTAAGTGTCTAAGGTGGCTATTAAACATATCAAGTTTCTGGCTATTATTTTAGCGTTTTCATAATAACTGGCCTCGAACAACTCATAGGAAATATGACCTGTTAAATCACATTAAATTTATTGTTTGACATTTTATTACATTACAATGTAATCATTTGCAACAAAATTGCAGAGAGAGCAACTAAACAATTTTGTTCAAAAATAGTTTATAAAACAGAAACCAAAGTAAGTGATAGCCTTAAAATGTATTTTGAAATAATATTTTTAGACCCAGGAGATGTTTGAGATTTGTTCGCTTTAGAATTTTAATAAACCCTGAGGGTCCTAATGTCACAACATTTGTTGATTATTTACTTGACATCTATATTTCGAAAAAATTATCATACTTACAAACCAAAGCTAGTACCGCGCTAAATCTATTTTAATTTGTTTGTTATACACATCCAAACAACGTTTACACATAAACAATTTACATACCTCGAAAAATTCTCCACTTCCTTAAAAAAAATTGGAAAATTAATTTTTTTTATAGTATGTTTTAGAGAAGACTATTTTCATAATTACTGAACAAACCAATTGCAAATATGTCAAGAAAAATAACTAAGGAGGTCATTATGGCAGAACACTTTAAACAATTTTATCAATTCTTCCAATAAGTTATAAATTAATTTGTATTAATTAGTACAATCGCACAGACATTTATTACTTAAATGTTTAGTTCCGACATTTTAGTATACTGCAAATTTCAATATTGCATTTCAGAAAATGTTTATCAACAGTTTAATCTTATCGAATAATTATTGTATTGTTGTACTAACTTGTATTCACAGTTTTTATATTATTACCTGTTTTAGCTTCTACTCAACTTGTTAAAAGAAACGATCAACTTAGATAGAAAACCTTCATGTGCGTTAGGAAAAAATACTTCAATTGGGTCAAATGTAGGTAGTAAAATTTTAAAACTCAATTTTTTTTTATTCTGTATTTTTTTATTGCCTGACATTTGTATGAATTTGTATTCAGATTATTTTTGCAATTACCGGTCATTCAAGCAGTGGCGATTGCTGCGTGAAGTATATGGATACTAGAAACGAGGATGGCAAGAAACATTTTTTATTTTTAGGTCGGAGGCTATGATTGCTCGGGTAAGGATTATTATTTGGATTCCGTAGAATACTTCTTTGCGGTAGATATGACACGGATAAAAAACAATGGAAATTGGTCGACAGGGCAAAAGAGCTGTCAAAAGATTATGGACATATTCTTTATGTGGTATTAACTATTACTACTAATATTATTACAATCTTGTTTATTTGATTTAATATAAAATTACTTAATCATACTTTTTTTTAAATTGTGAATACAAACTATGTTTTGTTAGTTTCGACTGTGTTGTACTTCCAATTTGTGATGATAATTTGTCTTTATTATATGTTGAAAGGGTACAAAAAGAGCTTCTAAAGAGCATCTTAAATACGTTTATTAGAACTAAAACTATATGATGATAGTAATGTTTTTTTTATTTGTGCTTATTGTCTGTTTGGAAAATATAAAATAAAGCCAAGTAGGTAGAAGCTTGAATTAATCAAATCAATGTAGATCTGCGATAAAAGAAATGTTTCTAAGACAAATCCATTGTGGTCACATTTATTAGTAAAAAATGTTTTACCATTTTGATGAACTATTAGAATTATTTGCCAGTAACAAAAAAAAATCAGCTTATCAGCCCTGTTTCACTGAATTTCTAACATCTCAGGTTGTCCCATAAAAATACATAACATATTATAAATTTCAACCCTAATAATTTATTTTATTTTATATTTTGCAATAGTTATCAATAAGTTCCAAGGCCAATAAATTACGCATCAAAAACACACGATAATGTATTAGTATTAAATATAATTTTATTAGACATGTTATTATGACATTATATTGTTATTAAAAATAAAAGCATTATAGTTTTATGTTTTTATAAAATTCAAAATAAAATGTGTTACAATGATAATTTTAGGGTAGATGTAAAACATTAGGTCTTTGAATAAGGTTTCCTTGTAAGAACTATCAAGTATGAATGAAACTAACATAATAATATAATCATAATAACGCCGAAATCAGTAAGATTAAAGTGCAGTATGTCTATGCACAACGTTTGGAGTAACAGTTCCAAAGCGTACATCTTTTAATAAAAATATAAATCCTCTTTTGTATCTACCTTCACCTTCTATTCCGTTTTCTTTAAGCTGTTCGATGGCATCATTGTAAATGGGATGTTTGGAACTAACAAGTGATTAAAATCAAATAGTTATAACTTTATTTTTTTAAATATCCCGTGCAATAGTATAGGTATATCAGTTAAGCTACCAGTCTGACATACTACCAATAATTTTAATTAACCTGTATATCACTTATATTCACAGCTATAATATTATTATTTTTTTTTTTTTTAGTTACGAGAAGCATGTTAGAAAATAAGTATCATCAAGACATTCAAACAATTCAAAACCATCATGTATACTTTAAGAAGAAATACTCAAATTGAATCATCAAACGCAAGTAGACATAATTTTAAGACTAGATTTTAAGTACCTACATTTTTTTTGTGCATAGTCTATTCGGAAAATATAAAACAAAGTCAAGTAGTAGATTAAAATTAGCACCAGAGTTTGGTTGAGAATTTATTATGCTATAATTTGCAATAGCTGTAAAGAAGTTTTTAAGGCAAATGAGGTAAGTACCAAAAACACATTATTGTATAGGTATGTTGATTAAAATATTTTTATTGTGTAATTAATTATTATGACATTATATTGTTGTTAAAAACAAAGCTATTATAATTTTATTTTTATTTAAAATTCAAAAATATGTATCATGATTATTACAATAAAAAGTTTTCTTTTTTTTGTATTCCAAAAAGTATCATTTGTTAATGACGAATAGAGTGTCAATAACCAGTTCAGATACTTTAAATTCAAATTTTCTTCCGAACTTATTATTACCAAGTATCTTGTGGTTGTGATTCTTTTTGATAGCATCAATGTAGGCATAATGATCGAAACTAATAGGTAAGTAAAATAAAAAAGTTATATAACTTTATTTTTTTCAATATCCTGAACAATTGCATGGGTATTTCTTAAAAAAACGCAAGAGGCCATTTGCCCTCAAATGTATTAAATGTCTATTTGAAATATGGTTTTTAGGAGACATCATCATAAAAAATTTCGAAGACAGAGCAGAACAAAAACAAATATAAATTTCCCTATAGGAGATGCCTATTATTTGGATTGGCCACGTGAAACACGCGGTATAATGGTGAAATCGTGTTCATTATAGCCAATATGCAAATTAGAAGTCGTTCACTTGAGGTAATGTCAACAATTAAAAAATGTCCCCCTTTTCTTTAAAGTAAAAAAAAATATATATATATATCCTAATTATCAGCGATTGAAAACGTTACTAAGCTAAAGACTACTTTATTTGTTATAATGTATACAAATTTTATTAAAACTATTGGTAGTATAAATAGTCTGGAAGCTTAACTGATTTTGACCTTGTTAAAAAAATAAGTTGACAATTTTTGGTTTTTTCAAGTAAAGCGTCGATAAGAATATTAATACTCACTCTGGTTTAATAACAAAGAGAACATCTGTAAAGCAGAACAGTTTTTTAAAAAATATAACACATTATATAAAATGTTTTACATAATTGTAAAATATCTGTGTTTAAATATTTTGCAATAGGTGTAGCAAATGGTGGGCACCCCTACCTACAAATTAATGTAAGTTTAAATTACAGTTTTAACTAAATTAAAAAAAAAACTAAGCACAGTGAGAAAACTCAAATAAAATATAGTTGATACAACAGTAAAATAATTTTGAAGACATATTATTTAAAATTATAAATAACAAAATATTGCCCTCGAAAAAATGTGTGTGT